AAACTAATCACCTAAAAATAATTGGTCCTCAGGCCAAGACCCTGCCCAGCTCGGTCCATCAATCCTAAACATTTTTTTAAAAAATGCTTTTCTAAAAACCTTGCAATTTATTTTTAAAGGTAATGCATGGAGATGGTTAAAAATTCAGAAGACATAATAGCATAGACTTCTGGGCAGCAGAAAGTTACCCCACATCAGGAAGGAAAGAGAAAAACAGAGGAGCAAACTCCACTGGAACAACAGACAACTGAACTGTGGAGCCAGAGCAGGTGGAAAGAACACTGGGGGCCTGGGGAGACCAAGGGATGTGCCCTCCACTGTGCCCCGACCCCAGGGGAGGCCAAGGGATGTCCCCTCTTCTGTGCCCCCAACCCCAGAATAGTAATGGTTACCTGTCCATAATACGTACTTGTTACCTGTGTATCCTGGAGAGTCCTAAACTCTTTTTTTTTTTTAACTGAGGTATAATTGACATACAGCACTCTATTAGCTTCAGGTATACCACATAATGATTCAATGTTTGTATATATTGTGAAATGATCTAGACTCTTACAGTAAGAATTTTGCCCGATCTCAATCACTAAAAACAACCCCAAACCGAAAACCTTACACATATCCACTCCTGACCTATCCCTTGTGAGACATTACTAAGAGTGCTGAGGCGGTGGTCTCCCTCACTATAATAAGTATTAAATCTCACTTTGATTAATCAATAGATTGTTCAGACAACCAATTGGGGCAGTCTACACTGCAAAGGCAGGTAAGTGAGTTGCTTAAGGTATGGAGGAGCAGAGCCAGATGCTGGCCCAGGCCATCTGACACCAAGTCCAGTAGCTTACGTTAGAACTAGGGTGACCCTGAGGATCACTTCTTCCAATCCTTAAATTGTCAGAGAACTGGGGATTTAAATAATTTATCTGTTTACCTTAGATCAGGGATTTGTTTTGTATTATTTTCCCCAAATATTTGTTATTTTTAAAAGTTGTTTCTAAGACACTAATATTTCATAATATCTTCCCCACTTACCATTGGATTTAAAGTTTATGTGACTTATCTCCATCTGCACCCAAATCAGGACACACGGCCACCTGTGACATATTTGCCAAAATGATTCAGCTTAGGTCTTTCTCTAATGAGACCTTCCTAGAATGCACTCCTGCCTCCTTGGGGAGGAACCTCTTCAATGAAACTGAGGACAGTAAGGCTATGAAAATAAAAGACTCAGGAAAATTACAAGTGACAGAGTACTGAAACAAGTCTCTGCTAGACTTCCTTTCTTCTGTATCAAGGCAGACCCATCCATGAAGACACGAAACCTGCACCTCCTTGTCTTAAAGTTCTCTCCTTCCTTCAACGCCTCCCTTTCAAAATGCAAATGGTCATGGGAGAGGCCATTTTCCCCCAGCTTCAGTGAGGGGTAATTGACAAATAATGTTGTGTAAATATAAGGTGTACAACATGATTTGAGGTGTGTATATACTTTTTAAAAGATTTATTTATTTTTTAGAGAGAGAGAGAGAGCACAAGATGGAGAGGCAGAGGCAGAGGGAGAACGAGGGAGAGAATCTCAAGCAGACTCCCTGCTGAGTGCAGAGTCTGATGCAGGGGCTCATGACCCTGAGATCATGACCTGAGCCGAAACCAAGAGTTAGCCGCTTAACTGACTGAGCCACCAGGTGCCCCTGATGTGTGTATATCTTGTGAAATGATCACCACAACGATGATAGTTAACACATTCATCACTTTCCATAATTATGATTTTTGTGTGTGTGTGTGGTGAGAACATTTCTGATCCACTCTCTTAGCAAGTTTCAAGTCTACAATACAGTATTACTAACTAGAGTCACCGGACTGTACATTAGATCCCTGAATTTATTCAGCTTAAAACTGGAAATATGTACCCTTTGACCACCATCTCCCCATTTGCCCTTCGCCCCAGGGCCTGGCAATCCCCAATCTACTCTGTTTCTCTGAGTTTGACTTTTTTAGATTCCATACGTAATTGACATCATACAGCATCTGTCTTTCTACTTCTAACTTACCCAGGAATGCTGTAGTTTAATGAACAAAGAAAAAGTTCTAAGCCTAGGGGAGGAGAGTCTCCCCAGGGAGTAAGACTACCCTGAAAGAATGGTAGAAATTTCTCCTTCTTCCCTGTTTTGTGTAGGGCTAGTTGTCCTGAGGTGACTGTAAATGTTCTCCTTTTCTTTCTTTTAATTTCTCTTATCCTTTCTTCTTTCCTTTTCTTTTCAGTTGTTGTTGCTCCTTGGAAAACAGCATAGAAGAATGCTCATGGACCCACAGACATGGACCTGATCTATTCTTGACCTTCTTACTTATGGGTTACATTATAATGTAGGTATGATATTATTATTATTATTATGTTATTATTGCTATTGCTATATTATGAGTGAAAAAAAGAGAAGCGCACTCAAAGAAACTATCAGTTTGACATCTTGTCCTTAATTTTTGCACAGACTAATGTAGCACGAACAAGGAAATCATTTTCACAGGAGAAAAGAGCTAAATGGCTTTTCTAAAGATTAAATTTGTATTCTTAAAAACAAATCTTAATTTTTTTCTAATTGTAAAAATTGTAAAAATTAATTTTTCTAATTGTAGGGTATTATTTCCTGCGATTGACTGGGTAACAGCACCCCCAGAGGGCTGCCTTTCATTTTGTGGTGTGCTGGGCTGTCCTAAAATGCCAATGGCTCTGGGTGTCCCTGAAACCACACAATTACTGGGCAAGTCTGAGGGCGTCCCTATTCCCTGATGGTCTTAAAAATTTGGCTCAGGTACCCCCACAAATTTTCTCTCTCTCTTCAAAATTTTCTCTTTTTAAAACCACTTCTGAACATTTAAAAATCAACAACTAAATTTCCCCCTCACAATGTTAATTAGCAGTAAAGGATGTGATTTCTAGCATTATTGTGTCTGTGTTTCAATATGACTTTGAGAAAACACTGGAGAGCTTATTCATCTAATGCGTTCACTTTTATGACTTTGGGCACCATGAAGTCAGCCTTCAGTGTCGAGCCAATGAGCCAAATCTGCCAGAAAAAGTCTGACTTTATTTTTCAAGTCATATAACACGTTAACACACACCCTTGAGACACTCACATTATTCCTAAGGCCTATCCCTAAGGCAGACGAATTCTTGGTGGGAGGTTTTCCAAAAACTTGTCACCTGGATAGACAATAAGACAATAAGATGCTGCCCAGGGGGATCCCCCTTCTGGAGAAGGCTGCAGGGGAACACTCCTTAGGTTTAGCAACCCAGATCAATAAGCACCATAGTTTCACATTTCTTGCGTGTGGCTGAGAGTCTCCCCTTTCTTTTGTAAACTAGGAGCAGGTGAATAAGGAAAAGGTGGTGGAAAAGAAAACTGGAAGACCAAATTTAAGAAAGAGTTCATTGGGAAGCGAGGTTCTAGAAGTGGCTTCTTCTAAGTATCCCTGTCTGCCTGTGCTCCCGAAGTCTCTGGGAACCCCCAGGGCACATTCAGGAAGGTAGTTATTCTGGGTAGGTGAGTAATGTCATTTTGGTTCTGAATTTGGCGGGTAGACTCTGAATACAGGCCAGAGTATTACACTCCTCTCATGGGGTGTTGTGGATTTGAGGCTGAATTCTCTTCCCTCTGAGTGCGGCTGTGGGGCAGGACCCGCACACGTTCTGTCTTGTGTGAACAGGGAGCGTCTTCAAGACACTAAGGATTGATGCTGCCAGGAATTTGTCTAGTATAGTAGTTGCAGCTTGATAAAGACCCTGGAGAACCATGTAGTGTTCAAGGCCGGCCCCATGACGTTATCTGATGGCAGCTGGATTGAGCCAGCTGGAAGCAAACTGAAATTGGGACACAGGTTGTTACAAATGTGCATAGAGAAGTTTTTCTTTCTCTATGTCAACCAGACCTCTTAGATTCATCTTATTATATTTTTGTGGTGATAATATACAAGCCCCAAAAACATTTATTCTCTTCTCATAAAAGGTACTCCAACGCATACTCATATCTATGCGTGAATTGTCAGCCAATAAAAGAATGAATACACAAAATATGGTCCTGACTAGTTAGGATCATTTTTGGTATACAAATTTCAGGTACTGCTATAAACTCAAAATAGCTTTTCAAGCCATATGTATTAGCCTTATTTCCTCATTACAGTTATCCAGGTTATAGTGATACACACTCTGGCAAAAACTCTTTAATGACTATTCCTGGAAGAGAAGTAGAGTAGAAGAGAGTCCAACTCCTTCCCCTCAGCACAAGTTGGAGGGGGCTTCCCAGCATAAAATGCATCCATTCCCCTTGTCAGCCATTCTCCTTCCAGCCCCCCAATATTTAGCTGTATGATTACACATGTCTGTGTAATGTATCTGCCAAAAAATTACATTCCAAATGCTCATGCATTTTTATAAAGATTATGTTACTTCATACAATGACACAGTCTTCTAAAATACTCTTAAGTAGCTAGCTTGATGTTCCTTTCTGATACTTTATCAAGGCAGGTTTAAGAAAATAACATTAAAGTTACATGTTTTCATAAGCATTTTAAAATGGATATGCTTTTGAGTCTTACAGATTTTAAATACATTTATTCTTAATAGATTAATAAGTCATAATTACTTCTAAAAAGCTTACCCTTTTACCATTTTCCCCTTAGATTGTGATTTGTCCCTCAGATATCACAAAAGACATAAAACATGGAAGAATAAAAGTTATTTACATCTTTTTGTAAATGTTTATACTTACAATTTATGTGTGAGTGCATGAAAAGAAAAGAAATGCACAACTGAGCTAATAAAATATTACTTTTCCAGGAAAAATATTAATGATGTATTTGACATTATTTATAAGTATATAGTTACCTACATCTAATTTCCAGTGGAAAGTGTGTATTGATACTCAGAAAATTAGCTCATTAAAAAGAAAGATCTCTTCTTTGCTTAATATAATCCCACTTGTGTTTAAATATGTATCAATGTTTGATGGTGTTACCTTAAGATTTTAGTGACTGCAGTCTCCTTTTCTAGAAGATTCCTTGCCCTTATGCTGAAAACAGACTTGCGAAGCTGTAAAATTATAAGTGTGACTTTAGTTTTGGAATGTAAAGGGATAATATACTGACAAATCATTACATACATTAAATAGATAACACTATTAAAACATCAAACATGAATTTTTTTTCCACTAAAGCATCATTATACGATTGATTCTGTCATTTATTTTTTTAAAAAGATTTATTTATTTAGAGAGAGAGAGCACAAGCAGGAGGGGCAGGGAGAGAGAGAGAGGATCTCAAGCAGACTCCATGCTGAGTGTGGAGCCCAATGCGGGGCTCAGTGTCAGGGCCCCAAGATCACCACCAAGCCGAAACCAAGAGTTGGACGCTCAAGTGACTGCACCACTCAGGAGCTCCGAGTCTATCATTTAATTTTATCTTCTATTTTTCCTTTTATGTGGGCAGAAACGCAAACAAGCTTGTGGGGGCACACATCACAGCTATAACATCTTAATCTGAACAGGTTTTCCAGTGTCCAGGGAATTTAACGTTAAGACAAATGTTGGACTCTTTCTTGCCATTGTCCAATAAAATGTTCTCTAATCCACTTTACACCTGTTTCAGGTTCTTGGCCTGGGACCTGATACTAATCTGAATGATGAGTTCAAAGAGTTGTTTTGCCTACAGGCATGGAGACAAATGAGATGAGCTTTCAAGGTTGCTTCCTAGTTGGTGATGATGAAATTATTCCAGGGAAAAGCACCAAGAAAAACAAAATCCTGGAGGCTGCCTACAAACCAGAAGATTCTCCAAACCCAGCTCTGTCCTGCTTGATAGTTGCAGAATCAGAGGGGTGACAGGTGTACAGAGAACCGAAGTGGGCAAGAACAGGGCAGAGAAAGAACAGGGAAGCATGCCACCCTAAGAAAATTCATAATAACAAATGACTAGAAAGGGTAACTCTAGTAGTCAGACCAAAGGTAATACTCGGACAACAACCTGCTCATCTTGATCAATAGATTAGGTTAGATTTACTAAGCACTTAGTATGCTATTAGTGGCTATTAGAGATATGGGTTAGCTAGGAATCAGAATTCTTGCTTACCAGAAATGAAAAGCCTAGTTACAAAGGCAGGGCTATGACGCATGACATTACCAGTAAAAAGTAGACAGTAAAGTGCTGGATGATATGTCCAGTAGAAAGCTATAGGACTCCGGGTGGGGAGAAATATGCGTGTCTGAAATGTCAGCAAAGACGTTACTGAAGGAGTAGAAGTTGCATAGGGGGCCGTGGGCAAAGAACTGCAGTTGCAAATGCATGCATGGGGCAAAGTAATCCAGAGCAGACCATTTGCATAAGTGCTGAGCTCCGTGGAGGAAACAGTGTAAGGCATACTGCGTTTCAAACAGATTTGAGGGAGGAAAAAATAAGCAGGAGATAGAACAACTCTGTATTCAGTAAAAACAGACCATCCAGTTTCTTTCGAACAAGTTAGTGACTTCATGGGCAAAGTCACAGAGCTCCAAACTACAAAGAAGCCTATAAACAAATGTGGAACTGCCAACCCATGTGTCCACACGGCCACAGCTAGAGAGGAAGTGGTGGGCACAAGCTGGTCTTTTCAGTCACACCTGACAACCTAGAGAACACCAGAACTGGCAATATAATTTTCATATTTCACAGCAAGATCTGCAATTAAGGGGAAGATCATTGGACACATTGGCAATTTCCCTTGTATGAGGAAAGATGGCACACTTATATTTTTTCAATGAAAAACTGAATTGGTTTCATTATTCACCAGAACTCTTGGAAGAATAAATTCATGTGTAGACAAGGAGCTAAGAGTGGATGGAATTTTTCCAGAAATTACATTTTCAGGGTAGTGCAAGAAAGGCTGTTTACCATGATGTATCATGAAACTTTCTTTAGTCTCCTCACCCCCCCTGAAGGTGACTTTCTTAAGTCTCCTCACCTCCCCTGACTTTTGGCATTGACTTAACCTCCTAGAGCTGACAGCCTATCTCCCAAGGAATGTTATTTAAAGTTATTTTCAGAGACAGAACTCAGCTGAAGGAGCCCATCATGGTGGTGCTTCTGCCTTTTGATACCCAAGTGCACATACAGTCACGGGAAAAGCCCGGGCCATGGGGGCCCCAAGGCAGCAGGTTTTAGGAGAGGACTGGACCCCACTGCTCTTGTTTCATCTTTGAGGGACACTGACATGACTTAGTCATCTTTCCCTTGATGTGAGGCGATGGTCTGAATTCAGTCACTTATCTACCGCCCTGTACCTGAGTAGTTGACACTGAAGGCAGTGTTCTTCATGTCAGAAAAACCTCTGCAGAAACTGCAAATAAATAATATTTATTATATTGATTCCAAAATTATTATTTCTGCGCTGCCTGAGATTGCTGAAGGGCTGCCGGCTCTCCTTTGTCCTAAACTTGAACTGGCTAAAATAAAATACACTATTAATCTGAACAAGGAAGTACTTGGAAACTGTTTTTTATT